CTGAGGCAGGAGAATCGCTTGAACCCAGGAGGCGGAGGTTGCAGTGAGCAGAGATCATGCCATTGCACTCCAGCCTGGGCAGCAAGAGTGAAACTCCATCTCAAAAAAAAAAAAAAATCATAATCATTTCAGATTTGTGAATGCAGCTCAATCACCAATCGCTTGGAACATCAGTTTTTGGTAGGAAGGTATTTAATGATTTGTAAACAACCCTTTGAGAAAATGCCACTTTTAAGTGGATCCTTGGGATCCTTTTGTAATATAAGTAATTTGTGAATAATTGCAAGCAATACAAGCCTGTGAATATTTGCAAGCAATATATTCAGATGACAGCGTTAAGCATTTCATTCAATAACACAAAAGGTTCCCGATGGTGGAGGTGGTATGAAGGGATTCACCTCCCCAGCCTCCAGTTGGCCTGTATTTTTGTGAAGTTTGTTCAAAACCCTTATGTGTGTTGACCTTTCTCTCCTCCTGCTGCTCCATAAACTAGAAAATAAAATGTATGGAGCATATGTTTTTCCTTAGAATGCGAAGTATGAGCTGGCAGTGGAGGAAGCAGGGATACTGATTCCAGGGGAGTCCTGGAGGAGCTTAGGATCTCTTTGAGAAGATGACACGCAAGCATGAAGGAATCAAAGCAGGGAGGGTTGAAAAGCGATGGCGACTTGCAAGAAGAGACGTGAAAGGGGCCAACTGAAAAAGTGTAAAGAAACATGAAGTGCTGCTTCCCCTGGATGTTAAAATTGAGAACAGAGAGCAGCACACGGCAATTCTGGAGAGAGGGAGGCTGGAGTGGGGGCTGTTTATAGGCACAGTGCGTGGGGGATGCTGGAGGCTCTTTCTACCCACCTTCCCCTGCAGGCTGGCCTGGCTCGCAGAGAGGTGTGGGAGGGGAACATGTACAGACCCAAGTTCTTAGAGGAAGAAGGAAAACCAAGAAAGGGAAAAAGGGCAGACAAATGGGAAAGCAGGAAAGAAGGAGAAAAGGAGTCATCACTCGGAGCCAGAGGCTGCAGTCGGGGAGTGAAGAAGCAATCAAGGGAAAACAAGACAGTGTGGACGCAGACCCTAAACACTGGCAGCAGGGGGCGCTAGAGAGACCACTCTAGTTCTCTGATCCACATCTCCCTTTTCTGGACAGATGCCCTGACCTTCCAGGAAACCCTTGGTGAGAGGCCCACAGCCCTACTTCTAGGGTCACCACTGCTTCTTCCAGCCCAGCCAAACAGCTCCTAGTACAGCTCAGAGCACCCTGCAAGGAGGGCAGGTGTTAAATCGAGGAGCACACATGCTCCACGAGGAATGCTTTGCTTTGAGGTCATGCACAGAGGTGGGTTCACTATGAAGCTTGTGAAATAAACTTCAGGGCCCGCAATTTGCATGGACCCCAGAGGGTCTGGGAGCTGCAGAAGGTTTGAGGGAAGAGGAGCCATCCCAAGCAGAATATATTCTAGAAGGCATTTCTGGCAAATGGCCCAAAGAGGCCTCAGGAGAAAAGAACTTGAGTCTTCAAGGTAACCTGCAACACTGTTGTGTCATTATAAGTATTAACTTTCATGCCTAAGTTTCATAAGTTTGTACACTTTTTTCTTAAAGAACCCCAGTCGGCCAGGCACAGTGGCTCATGCCTGTAATCCCAGCACTTTGGGAGGCCGAGGTGGGTGGATCACCTGAGGCCAGGAGTTCAAGACCAGCCTGGCCAACATGGTGAAACCCCATCTCTATCAAAAATACAAAAATTGGCCGGGCCTGGTGGCGTGTGCCTGTAATCCCAGCTACTTGGGAGGCTGAGGCAGGAGAATTGCTTGAACCCGGGAGGGAGAGGTTGCAGTGAGCTGAGATGGCGCCACTGCGATCCAGCCTGGGGAACAAGAGCGAAACAGTGGCGCCAGATCATCCAACTGTGCTTGAATCAAGTGGTCTTGATGCTTTAGTCTTAAAGTTTGTGTCTCCCCAAAATTCATAATTTCTAGTCCAGTGGTGTTGGGGGGTGGGGCTTTAGGGAGGTGATAAGGTCACGGGGGTGGAGCCCTTATGAATGGGATTAGTGTTCTTATAATAGAGGCCTGAGAAAACTTGTTCACCCCTTCTACCACATGAGGATGCAATGAGAAGGCACCATCTGTGAGGAACAGACCTTCAACAGACACCGAATTTGCTGGCACTTTGATCTTGGACTTCCCGGCCTCCAAAATTGTGAGCAATACATTTCTGTTGTTTATAAATTACCTACTCTAAAATATTTTGTTACAGCAGCCCAAATAGATAAGACAAAGGACGTGAGTGAATTTGAGGAACTGGAAACAGGCAGAAATAGGGAAGAAGGTTTCGGTGTAGAACATGCAGTGGTTTGGAGGCATCAAATTACATGTGCCCAGGGGCAGGTGGCCACTGGCTGCCTTGCATTCTCCAAGAGCAGAAAGGTCAGTCAGGTACCTTTGACTTGGAGATGGCTTCGATGTTGCTGGCCATGTCATCGATCTCCATCTTCAGCTCACTCTTCTCCTTCTCCAGCTTCTGCTTCACCCGCTGCAGGTTGTCAATCTGCTCCCCAAGCTCAGCCATACTATCCGCATGCTTCTTCCTCAGGGTGGCCGCCGTGGCTTCGTGCTGCAGGGTGGCCTCCTCCAGGTCCCTGCGCATTTTCTGGAACTCAGCCTCCCGCTTCTTGTTCATCTCAATCTGGGCTGAAGTGGCCCCACTGGCTTCTTCCAGCCTCTCGCTGATCTCTTCCAGTTCCCGGGCCAGATCTGAGCGCTGCTTCTCAATCTTGGCTCTGAGTGTGTGTTCTGCTTCAGTTTCCTCCTCCAGCTCTTCTATGCGAGCCTGAAAGGATCACTGTATCAGGACTGTTATTGTGGAGGAGGGGGCAGCCTCCTTTGAGAGGGGCTGGGTGTTGAGGAATTGCAGGTAGGCAGCACGAGGTGGGTGGATCATTTGAGGTCAGGAGTTTGAAACCAGCCTGGGCAACATGGTGAAACTCCACCTCTACTAAAAATACAAAAATTAGCCAGGTGTGGTGGAGGCCACCTGTAGTCCCAGGTACTCGGGAGGCTGAGGCAGGAGAACAGCTTGAACCTGGGAGGTGGGGGTTGCAGTGAGCTGAGATCACGCCGCTGTGCTCCAGCCTGGGTGACAGAGACTCGGACTCAGAAAACAAACAAACAAAAAAAGAATTCATTATAACATTACATTGGTGAAAAAACTTGGAAACAACCTAAATGTCCATGAATAAGGGAATGCACCGATCGATTGTGATGGAGACTTGTTCTAGAAGTCTATGGAGCAGGTAGACACCAATCCACGTCTATCATGGATAGCTCTGCAGATCACGTTGCCAAAAGAAAGGAGCAAGTTGCAGAGTGATACTCTCAGTGTGATATTTATGCTAAGAATATAAAGAAACAAGAACCTTTTCTGCATGTGTACTATATATGTTTTGGGGGGTCTTAAATGTGTACAAAAACACATAGCAAAAGAGGCAGAAGGATGGACATCCCACTGAAACTGGTCATTACTTCTGAGAAGATGGTGAGGGCACTGGGCTTAGGGGTGGTGGTCAAAGCACCCTTATCAATAATATTTAGCTTTACTGGGCCTATTTTGAGCCTTTGCAAGGAAGTATGTTTATGGGTTACTCAGAACATTAAAATATTATTTTCAAAAAGGAAAGGAAAGGACAGGACATCTTCTCTAGCTTTAGCAGGAGGAAGGAAAGAAGCAGCTAAAGAAACAATGGGGAAGGAGTGAGGAGGGGCACTCTTGCAAAGGGATTGTCATGATTGGGAAGGTTTTGATGTTTTACCTGCAGTTCTTTAATCTTCTTTTGAAACTGCAAACTGTGGACTTGTTCGTCATCTATTTTGGCTTGTAACTGACTGATTTCAAACTCCTTCCTGCAAATAGATTTTAAAAAAAGAACATGAGATACAAGCCTCTTGGAGGGGATGAAAGTTGGCTTTTAGGCTGAGACACAGAGGTGGTAAAAGAAATATCTACTTTTTTAATTTCTCTTCTATTTGCTGCTTGTCATTTTCTAGATCCATAATGGATTCCTGGGACATTTTCAGATCTCCTTCCAGCTTCCTCTTCGCCCTTTCCAGGTCCGCCCGCAGTTTCTTTTCCTGCTCTAAGGAACCCTCAAGCTGAGAAGACACACAGGTAGAAAATTAAGCCCCTGCTGGGGAAGCGTTTGCTCCTTTTATTCAGCGCAGCCATATATGTGACCTGGGGCTTCCCGGGGCTCCTGTAGGGTGCTGGCTGCAAGCCTCTGGCCCCAGGAGGAAGCAAGTCTTGTCCCCTACCTCCCCTCTCTCCTGTCTTCCAGAAAAGGCTACCCAGGGTGGGGCTGGATCCTTCATGGGCCTCCTGGTGCCTCTCTCAACTGATTCCCACTTGGCCTGGCCCAGACCATGTTCCATGGAGGGGTGTGGTACTCACGGGTGCTCACCCTTGCACAGACAATACAAATGGGGGCTTCTATGGACGGCACTGTGAAGGTCTATGCTCTACACCATCACGCATTCCCTGCTAACATTACGCAACCATGGGAGGCAAGGAATTCATGTGTGTGTATGTGTGTGTGCGTGTATGCACACACACACACATGCACACATGGGAACAGGAAACAGGGGCATAGAGGAGGCGCACACCTACCCTGGGCTCAGAAACATTAAAGTTATCTAGAAAATCTCTAGCCACAATAATGATTAAAACCTGAAAACTTCAAAAGTGGCTCTTACATCAACAATAATAACGTCATGGGATGGGGGTGGAAATAGTAATTTTCGTGGCCACAAATGGAACTCATCTTTAATAACGTTACAACAGGATTGGAGGTTTTGGAACCCAAAGGACCTACAGGTGGATGCTCATAATACTGATGATGGTGATGATAGCAGTAATAGCAGCTATGTTTTGCTGAACACTTTGTGTGTGCTGAGCTTTCTGTGAAAACCCTCTGAGATGAAGCTATTTCCATCGCCATTTCACAAGGCACAAACGGAGGCTTTGCAAGGGTAAGCAGCTTGCTTAGTATCCCAGACTCCTTCAGGGTCAGGATGGGGCTGAGATCTGAACTTAGGGATGCTGATTCCAGAGTCTGACCTCTCAAGCCCTGCGTCCTAGTTAGACCGTCTCTTGTCTGTGCTTCCACAAGTGATAAATGCTAAAGCATAGTAGTAAAATATCCTTACATCATCTGTTTGCTGTTCAAGCTTGGCATTTATTTTGATTAGACCATTGACTTTATCTTCTTCAACCTGAAGGTCATCCAGTGTTTGCTGATGGGCCTCCTGTAGAGACTTCTTTTCTTTGGTCAATTTGGAAATGTTTTCTTCAAGTGCTGTCATTTCTTCGGAGAGATTCTTTACCTGGGACAATATCGACGCTGATTTAATATGGAAAACGATTAAGCCAGAAGCTTCCATCAACAAAAGCTATTGCTTCTTTGCTCATTTTTCCTCTTTCCCTTTTCTTTTTGGCTACTACTTTTTTACCTCCTGGAATTGACAGACTCTCAGTTCTTTATCTTCCTTAACGGTCTATCACGGCGCCTCAAATTCTCCCATTAGGATTATTCATTTAAGGAGGGCATTATATTCTATAAGGAAGGGCACTGTTAAAATGCAAATGTGCTACCTCTGAAGGGTAACACATCAATCTATATTTGCTCATAACACGTCTGTGGAAATGTGTTTATTAGGTTGGCTGATTGAATAGGGTTTAGAATGAGGCAGGAAGGGGAGAAGAGGCGTGAGGTGCTCTGCAAGAAAATTCACGCCGGGTGCAGTGGCTCACGCCTGTAATCCCTGCACTTTGGGAGGCTGAGGTGGGCAGATCATGAGGTCAGGAGATCGAGACCATCCTGGCTAACACTATGAAACCCCATCTTTACTAAAAATACAAAAAAATTAGCCGGGCGTGGTGGCGGGCACCTGTAGTCCCAGCTACTCGGGAGGCTGAGGCAGGAGGATGGCGTGAACCTGGGAGACGGAGCTTACAGTGAGCAGAGATCACACCACTGCACTCCAGCCTGGGAGAGAGAGTGAGACTCCGTCTGAAAGAAAGAAAGAAAGAAAGAAAGAGGAAGGAGGGAGGGAGGGAGGCAGGGAGGCAGGAAGGCAGGAAAGAAAGAGAAAGAAAGCAAGCAAAGCAAGAAAAGAAAAGAAAATTCAGAACAAGAGTGCTGTGTTATCAGGAAGCAGGAGGAGGGCACCCAACATGGAACTTGAAGGAAGTAAGTGAAACTTTTTCCACATCCAACAGGCCTCCAGATCAGAAGTTGCCAACTCCTAATCTATGGGCTGAATCTAGCCATATTTTCTTTAGTCCACATAGTAGTTTACAATGTTATTATTTACAATTTTGTTTGTTTGTTTGTTTTTTTGTTTTGTTTTGGTTTTGAGATGGAATCTCTCTCTGTTGTCTAGGCTGGAGTGCAGTGGTGCAATCTCTGCTTACTGCAAGCTCCACCTCCCGGGCTCACACCATTCTCCTGCCTCAGCCTCCCGAGTAGCTGGGACTACAGGCGCCCGCCACCACACCTGGATAATTTTTGTATTTTTAGTAGAGATGGGGTTTCACCATGTTAGCCAGGATGGTCTCGATCTCCTGACCTTGTGATCTACCTGCCTCGACCTCCCAAAGTGCTGGGATTACAGGCGTGAGCCACCGCGCCCGGTCTGTAGTTTTTAAAATGTTATCAACATTGAAAAAAATGAGACTTCCCGTAAAACTTGGATTTCTGGCTTCTCATGGAAAATCAGAAGTTCTGAAAAGGCTGGATTCCCATTCCCCACTGACAACAGTTGGCTGGGGCTGAGTCACCACTGCCTTCTGTGGACAGGGCAAGAGCTCTTCAGTTTGCCACAGTCCCCAGCCCTTCCGAGTGTCTTTTTCCATTACTCCCAGCGTCTATCCAACACTGACTCTGAGTGTGAACTGTCATTGTCTCTTACGCTCAGCAGTTCACATCCCTTAGCCCACCTCATGGGCAACCCATTATGATGTGAATCATGTCAGTGGTTTTATATATTTTTGTTGAAATGTATGTTGTTGTGTTGTGTGCATATGATTTTTGTCTACATAAATGCTATTATGCTATATACTTCATTTTCTTTTTCTTTTCTTTTTTTTTGAGATGAGTCTTGCTTTGTCACCCAGGCTGGAGTGCAGTGGTGCGATCTCGGCTCACCACAATCTCTACCTCCTAGGTTTGAGTGATTCTCCTGCCTCAGCCTCCCAAGTAGCTGGGAATACAGGCGCCCGCCACAACGCCCAGATAATTTTTGTATTTTTCGTAGAGACAGGGTTTCACCGTGTTAGCCAGGATGGTCTCGATCTCCTGACTTCATGATCCGCCCCCGTTGGCCTTCCAAAGTGCTGGGATTACAGGCGTGAGCCACCGTGCCTGGCCCTATATTTCATTTTCTTACATTTTCCCACCATTTAGCAGTATTTAATATTTGCTGTGCACAACCCATTGTTCCTAATGGCTACGTGGTTCTCCCTGGTGTGTATCTACTACATGTTATCTCTCCGTTTTCCCCGTGGTGGACGCTGGCACTGCCTCCAGCTGTCTCCCACAAGCAATGCCACTACAAACACCCTAGGACATGTCGCCTTGGAGAAAGGTGGAAGAATTCCTCGATCTATACACTGAGGAGCAGAATTGCTGAGTCATAGGGTATCTGGATTCTTAATTCGACTAAGTCATTCCAAATGACTTTCCCAAACGCTGTTCTGCCAGTACCCGCTCCTCTCAGTCAATCCTTGGCGTTATCCAGTCTTCTGCCTCCTTCACTATCTGGCTGGCCCCTGTAGGCCTTCTCGTTTGCAATCCCTGCGCTTGGTGCTATGGGAGATGAAGAAGAATATGAAACAGTCCTTCCTCTCAAAGAAATGCTAGAAGTTTGTGATACAGCCAGGGAGGTTTGAGAAGAGCCTATGGGGTCGGGCGCAGTGGCTCACACCTGTAATCCCAGCACTTTGAGAGGCCGAGGTGGGTGGATCACCTGAAGTCAGGAGTTCGAGACCAGCTTGGCCCACATGGTGAAACCCCATCTCTACTAAAAATACAAAAAATTAGCTGGGCATGGTGGTGTGCGCCTGTAATCCCAGCTACTCGGGAGGCTGAGGCAGGAGAATTGCTTGAACTCGGGAGGCGGAGGTTGCATTGAGCTGAGATCGTGCCACTGTAACGAGATCTGCCTGGGTGACAGAGCAAGATTCCGTCTCACAAAAAAAAAAGAAGATAAAGGAGGAGGAGGAGGAGGAGGAGGAGAACCTATGGGACAGAAAAGACGGCAGGGGACAGAACTTGTTGGGACTTAACTACCCTTCTCCTTGACTCCAGCCTCTCATTTCTGGGCAATGTTGTATTGACTGGACTCCTACGCCACCCTTTCTCCTCCTTACAGAGAGAGAGAGAGAAAGCTGGTTAAGACACTGTGGGAATCCCTTGGGTTTGCGCACCTTGTTCTCTGTGGCATGCTTCTCCTTTTCAACTTTCGTCAAGGTCAGCTCCAGGTCATCAATGTCTCTCTTGAGAGAGCAGCATTTGTCTTCCAGATTCCTCTTCTTGGCAACCAGTTCAGAATTCATGTCCTCTTCCTCTTCCAGTCTCTCAGTCAGCTCCTTGACTTTTGCTTCCAATAGGATCTTGCTTTTGATGAGTCCTTCACACCGTTCCTCAGCGTCCATCAGATTTTCCGTTTCCTGAAAGAACCAGGTCATTTTATGTTTTGATTGGCCTCTTTGAAAATGCTACAAAGAAAGGGTGTCACCCTCTTAAAGCCCATTATCTACGCCTAAGCCAAGAAATGGGTTATGTACACACATGCACGCACATGTGCACACACTGCACACATACATGTACATAAACTTAGATATCACCCATAAACACATTTTTTTTTCTTTTTAGATGGAGTTTTGCTGTGTGGCCCAGGCTGGAGTGTGGTGGCGCCATCTTGGCTCACTGCAACCTCTGCCCCCCAGGTTCCAGCGATTGTAGTCCCGAGTTGCTGGGATTACAGGCATGTTCTACCACACCTGGCTAATCTTTGTAATTTTTGTAGAGATGGGATTTCACCATGTTGGCCAGGCTGGTCTCAAACTCCTGACCTCAGGTCATCCTTCCGCCTCGGTCTCCCAAAGTGCTGGGATTACAGGCGTGAGCCACTGCACCTAGCCAGTATACATGCTGTTTTTTTGTTTGTTTTTCACTACCAAGGACATTGCTTATAGAAATTCGCATTTAATAATTTGTCCATTTATTTCTTTAGAGACAAGGTCTTGCTCTGTTGCCAAAGCTGAAGTGCAGTGGTGTGAGATAGCCCACTGCAGCCTCACACGCCTGTCTCAAGTGATCCTCCCACCTCAGCCTCCCAAGTAGCTGGAACTACAAGGTATGTGCCACCATGACTGGCTTCTTTTTGTGTGTGTGTACAGATGGGGTCTCAATGTGTTGCCCAGGCTTGTCTCAAATTTTAGCCTCAAGTGATCCTCCTGCCTCAGCCTCCCAAAGTGCTGGGACTACAAGTGTGCGCCCCCATGCCTGGCCTCACTTATAATAATTTCAGACAGAGGAGTTCGTGAAGTTACAAGTTCATTTTAAAGAATGAAGCCTCTGGAAATTTGCCACATTTGAACAGCTGTTCATCTCACTCTTCCTGCTACCACCAGTTGGAAAATGACTCATCTACTCCATGTTATCTCAAGCTGACAAAATCGTTTCAAAACATTACTATCTTTTAACTTCCATTAAATTTGTTTTTAAATGTATGTATTTATTTATGTTCTAGAGATAAGGTCCCACTATGTTGCCCAGGCTGGTCTCGAGCTTCTGAGCTCAAGTGATCCTCCTGCCTTGGCTTCTGAAAGTGTTGGGATCGCAGGCAGGAGCCACCAGGCCTGGTCCTTTCAATGGAAAAGTTCTTCCTGTGTCTCCTTAGCTGTGTCTCCTTGAACCACAGAACAGATAATTAAAAACACCCAAGAATTCGTGATTGAATACATATGTCCTAGAAGATGCTGCAGTGAGTCTCTTGGACAGACCAACATTAGCTACTTCTGTTCTAAATCGGGCTGTATCTTCCCATATAAGAGTATTTATTTATTTATTTTTTGAGACAGTCTCGCTGTGTCTCCCAGGCTGGAGTGCAGTGGTGCAATCTCGGCTCAATGCAAACTCCGCCTCCTGGGTTCAAATGATTCTCCTGCCTCAGCCTTCTGAGTAGCTGGGACTACAGATGTGCACCACCATGCCCGGCTAATTTCTGTATTTTTAGAAGAGACGGGGTTTCACCATGTTAGCCAGGATGGTCTTGATCTCCTGACCTTGTGATCCACCTGCCTCGGTCTCC